AGTTTGTATCTCGATGATAGACTACTCTTTTCGACTGGAACTTTTAGAAGATTCTAATGACTTCAAGAGCTGCAAAGTTTTAGCCCGAAATTCAGTATCACTCCAAAATAGCAGCGCCAGAGAAAGAACACTTCTAGTCTAAACAGGTTCTACGTAATGACTAGGTTCTCATCTCAAACACAAGGTATCATCTCGAGTGGTTCGCTCGTTAGCAGAACATTGAGACTTACACTCGAGAGAGATCATGACATTTATTTAAACAATACTTCTATTCTTCTAGGTCTCTATTTTTTGAATACATTTATCATTGAACATGCATATATATTGGTAGGATTATGTCCTTGAAATAAAAAATAATTGACACTATTTAATACATTGAATCTCATTCTAGTTTTGTGTTCATAACATTAATGAAAATTATAATTTCCTAATCTTATATAGACCGAATATGATAGCTTTTTTCTTTCTCGTTCATACCTTTCCAAGACCCATTTCATCAGCAAGAATACCATTAAGATTATTATTATATAATGAAACAAGCCATTCAAGACCTTGTATTTGATAAGGTTTAAGTGTTCCACCAACAAGTAATAATGATTGTTTTGTAACACGTTCTCGTACACGATGTGCAACAGCATAATATGAATCTAATGATGCTGTATGATATTCATCATCTTCTGTTGCTTGTTTAGCTTTTGTTAAAACTTCTTTAACAATTTTTTCATCTTCAACAACACCTTTTTCTTGTTCATCAGCTGTTGGTACAGGAATTGTAATAGCTGTTTCAGCTAAACGTGCTGTTATATCATGTGATGCATCATCATCTTCATCATCACTATTTTCTCTTGGTATAGGTTGCCAACCAGGATTTTTTTCTAACCAATTATCAAGTTCAGATTCTAATGGTGCATCTGGTCCATCCTTTATTTCACCTGTTGTTATATTTTTAACTTTAATATATAAATAATTTTGATCATCATTAAAATAATTTGATTGTGGTTTTTTATCCATTTTTTTCTTTTTTAAGTCATTTTGATGTTCTTTTACAAGATTAACTAAACTAATTATATATGCATCTGTTTGTGATAATAAATAAGCTAAACGTTTATCTTTTTTTTCATCAATTAATTTTCTATAACCATCTTCATCTTCATTCATTAAACGACGCATACGTTCGCGTTCACGTTTTTCTTGTTCTTTTTTTTGTTCACGTTCAGTATTTTGATGCCATGATACAATTGAACGTGCTAATTTATTTGTTTTTAATTGTATTGTTTTATGATATTCTTTAAATTCACGTGAAACTGTTAATATAGCAGTTAAATATTCTTGATGTTTTTGTCGACGTTTACGATCAATTTCAGCTTTTTGTTGTTTTTCTAATTTTTCTGTTGAACGTGCTTCACGTAAACCAAATTGTTTTGGACGTTTATATAAACGTGGATTTGTACCAGTTTCAAGATTTGTATCTAAACGCATACATGTTACAATTTCTGAACGTAATTGTCTTTGAAAATTTAATAATTTTAATGCTTTTAATTCAATCATTAAACGTGTACGATAATTATCTTGTGTTAATGTTTGTAAAATTTTTTCTATTTCATTTATACGTATTAATATATTATTTTGTATACGATTATCACGTTCATTAAGAACTTCTTGTACATCAATACCAATTGGTTTTATTATTGATGTTAAACGATGATTATTTATACGTGTTGATGAAGAATTTATATTTGTTACATTATCTGTTATTAATGGAATTTGTGCTGTTTGATTTTGATAATTTATTGATGGCATTGAAGAATAATAACGTGAAGGTATATTACCATTTATAGGTGATGATTTATAACGAGATGAATCCATTAGAGATGATGATGATGAATTTGATAGTTGTTTAGTAGGATAATATTGTTGTTGATGACGTTTTATAACAATAAGATGTTGTTCAGGTATTGGCTGATTACGTATAAGATATTTATATGCACTTATTTGATGATTAAATAAATTTAATTGTAAACTACTCATTGTTGTTGTTGATGACATCATTTGATTATCAATCATACCAGAATTAGACATATACACTAGAACAAAATAATTTAATTTGAAACTATTTTACAACAAAAAACTATGTATATATACTTGTTTGTTGTGACGTTGATGACGGTGGTGCTTGATTCATTATCATTGGATAATATTTATATGAAATGAAATATTTAATACTACATGATAGATAAAATAAAACACGAATCTAGAATAAGATAAACTAAATCATAATATTCGATGAATTTACTATTCGATTTAATAGTCAATCATAATTTGCTTGCTTGAATTACATTTGTTCTTTTTTACTAGTTTCATCAACGAACGAATGATAGTTGATTATTTTATTTTACAATAGTCATGACATTGACAAATCATAGTTTGGTAGTTATAGATGTCGTCTATATATGGCTTAGTTCAGTTGCATCGTTTATCGATTGGCGTACATTGTAATATACATGGATTAATTTTACTCAAACTTGAATCGTAGTGCTAAGAATTTGATAGGCTTTGAAACGAATATTCCGAAAGTAAAGACAAGTTTGATTAGATGATGATGATGAACAATTGAAACGTCTGTTCGCATTTGGCAATGTAATATCGATGATGTTAAAGAGAATTTATATTGACTGTAAAAATAGATTTTCGAAATAGATAAAACAAAACAAAAAAAAAGGAAAATTATATAGATGACATTAAAGTTCATGAATAATTAATGAGAATTTGTGAAAATGAATTGTGTTCAACGTGTGATGGTCTCCAAGTATGAATCGCCAATCGAGCTGACATAGTTTTTTTCATACGTAGAATTTGATGAAATTAGTAAAAGCCTAAAAAGGTTCACCCTCGTGCGCTGTCATTACCGTTTTATTGTGTTTCTAATACCTTTGACAAGATATTTATGAAGAACTCAAAAATCTGAAATTTTCTCCATGAATTCATCCCATAGTGATTAAAATGCTCTAAAAATTTTAGTCGAAAAGGATATATGTTAGAGGTTAAAAAACATCCAGTAAAACAGTAGTGACAGCGCATGACAATGAACTCTTCTAGGGTTCTACCAATTTCATTCAGTTCTATATATAGAAAAAAATATCAGCTCAGTCGGCGTTTCACACTTGGGGATCTTTCTTCGTAAGTTCTTTTATTGTTAGTGTCAATTCTATGTCTCAGCAGTAGTAGATCTGCGACGTTCAAATGGTAGGAAGAAAGGACATCTTATTGAAGAATAGAAGAAAACAATGTTAGTAAAAAAACCACTGTTCAAAACTTGGCCGAGTTTGCATGATTTCTTTTTTGCATATTTCTTAAATCTACCATTACTGTATCCATATTCACACATTTATCGTATATATATTTTCTTTCAAAATTTTTGCTGCCTATAGTTTTTCATTATATACCACATAATGTCTTTTCATAAAATTTTAACCCACAAACGCTTCCCTGGAGCCCGTCCGGATTGCAATAGGGTTAATTTTAATGCTATATACACATAAAAAGAGATCGCATGTTGCCTCTCTAAATATGCCTCCACGAAGATTAGTAGAGTTCATTTAAAATGTCAGCCGGTCATATTCATGTGTACTTTTAACAGTACAGTGACTTGAAGTATATGTGGCGCTTATTGTACCCCTAGTGAGTCCGTACGGATCCGAACTTGTTAAAACAGAAAGAATACGTAAAGCCAGCATTTGGATATATTCTATCTGTAGGAGCTCTGCAGGAGACATCGGTAAAGAGACAAAAACAAAAGCATCTGTGCCCAAGCTACTGTAGATATAAGGCAATTCTGGTGTCTATTACTTTACTACTATCCACTGGAATAGGGTACAATCATTGTTCGTAACTTGGTAACGCCAACAATTATGAAGTTTGGATTGTCACCGATAGAAAGAACAATATCTGATCCATAAGTCCACTACAGCATCAAAATATTTGAAAGATTATCTCGAAGGTTTTCCCGCAAGTTTTCAATCGTTGTCTAGAAAATCGCGAAAAATTCTCGAAATTACCTTTAAACTATTTTGATTCTGCAGTACTTATAGATCAGATGTTGTTCTTTCTAGCGGTGAAAATCCGAACTTCATAATTGTTGGAGTTACCGAGTTATAAGCAATGATTGCACTGTATTCCATTGGATAGTAGTAAAGTAGTAGACATCAGAATTGCTTGGTATCTACTGCAGCTTGGATACAGCTGCTTTTATTTTTGTTCATTTACTGACGTTTCCTGCAAAGCTCCTACAGATAGAATATATCCAAATCCTGACTGTGCGTATTCTTTCTGCTTTAACAAGTTGGGGTCCGTACGGATCATAGGGATACAATAAGTTTACTTGAATTTTCCCCCTTTATTTTTTTTTTGTTTTTGTCAATATATTTCTTTCATTTATTGATCTACTATATATAGCGAGAAAGTCCAGAACGCGCTGCATCTTTTGATATATTTACATTGAACATCAAAGGCAGTTTAAAGTATAAAAAATCTATTAGAAGAAAAAGTGACATTGTTTTTTACTACAATGTGCAGTGCGAATTAAATGAATTTCATTTACTCATTGCTTTTATGATGATAAGTAGGTATTCGATTACTTCCGATGACTTAAGCTTATATTTAGTCAATACCCTTTTTATAAAAACATTCAGATTAACATGGTGGCTAAGTTTAAGTCTTTTTTATTCGTGTAAAGTTTGAACTAGTCAATCACAAATGAAATCTTATTTCCTGACTTATCATACTAAAACACACGTGATGATGTCAACGCGATGTCCTGTTCTGTCCTTTTTTTCTTCTTCCGCGTGCTTCTCGTATACGCACATATATACATATACATCGTGAATGACTAGAATTAAATTACAAAATTGATTCTTAATTCTTTATGTTTTAAACTATTGTTTATTGTACATTTCGATTTTAAATTCTGTTGTCTTTATTTATTACTGTTGACTTTCTTTATTATGACCCGTAAATATGATAAATACATATGTCAACTCAAGCACAATGTGCTTCAAGAATATCGTCCTGGAATTTACAGTTATGAATTTAAAGCATTAGCTAAACGTTTTAAGATTAAAGATGGTCATAAACTTATTATGAGTTGGTACCGTCGATGGGATGGTGATGTTGATTCTTTAAAGCCAACATCTAAAGGTTGTCGATCACGTACAATGACACGAAAACAAGTTAGACATCACATTTTAGAATTTGTCGAATCAATGAATAACAAACATGTAGCTGTTGATTATAATGTGGTTCAGGCACATATTGAATCTGTGCTGAAGCGAAAAGTATCGATACGTACAATCAGACGATATGGTAAAGAATGTGGTATAAAATGGAAAAAACTTCTGAAATAACCGCATGTGATGGTTAGTATATATTCAATTAATGCTTATTAAATTATCTCATCAATATCTCTTTCTACGCGTTTTTAGCTGAAAATAGCTTTTGGGAAAATATTGGTCGATTTAGAAGATCATTACAACGAATAAACAATGATTGACTGATCTTTATTGATGAAACAGCTATATATTCTATCATAATTCATCATGAAACTCTTGTTACTCCTGGTGAACAACCATTAATTCTAGTTACACAACCTTCAGCATATGCAAAACGGTATGATTTTGTTGGTGCTATTAATGGTTCTCAATCGATTGCATATATGACATTGACTCAAGAAGATCGTAACAACTGGCGAATCAAAGGGATTAGACAACCCAGGTCCAATAAAACGGCGTCGTATCCGGCCTGAAACGGCTATAAAACGGCGAATTACTGCAGTAATTTTGGCCTTATTTCGCCGTAATCCATCATACCGTATTACGACCACCGTCTATCGCTAGAAAACGGCGGTCGTTTTTTTCCGGTTTTGCTTCCGTAATCTGGTATGACGGATTACGGTGCCGTTTATCGACGTTTTACATCGTTAATCGTCGTTTTATAGCCGTTTCAGGCCGTTTACGACGCCGTTTTATTGGACCTGGGAATGGGTGATAAATAAATGGATTACTGATGCATTAGCACCAGTAATCAATCGCTTAAATATTGACAACACTTATCTTATATGTGATAAAAGTAGAGCTCATAATGAAGCAAATATGATTCAAGCATTACGAGCTGGTAAACGTAAATCGGTTAAAAAGATTTTATATATGTCAACAGCATCCGCAAAATACGTTTTACCATTAGATGATCCACTGTGGTACTCTTTTAAAAAAAAAGAATTCGAAATCAACATCCATTATGTACAATTGATATACCTTCAATACTTTCCGAAAAATTCCATTCGTTTTCTAGACAAGAAATTAAAAATGCATATCGCAAATGTAGCTTGACACATGGAAATGATGAATATTATGACAAATCTTAACATTGTTTTTATAGATTTTTTTGTTATAAGCTAGATACACATACATATTGTAGTAAATAAAAATGTCACTTTTTCTTCTAATAGATTTTTTATACTTTACACTACGTTTGATGTTCAACGTAAATATATCAAAAGATGCAGCGCGTTCCGGACTTTCTCGCTATATATAGTAGATCAATAAATAAAAGAAATATAATAACAAAAGCAAAAAAAAAATAAAGGGAGAAAATTCAATTGGCCCCTGCTGCAATTTATATGTGCATGCAACTGGACAGTTCGATTACGATAGTAAAAGGTCGAGTCTCAGTCAACCTTAGTCAAAATTTTGTTTTTTCCAATTGTTTGACCAAGACTGACCAGGACTTGGGATTTTACTTTCGTAATCAGTCTGTGCCGTCTTATGTATATATAAATTAAGTCAAGCTGAGCAACTCTAGATAAAGATCTCGTAAAGTTCTGGAAGTTCTTCTTCGAGACAAGTTCCCATCTTTGTCAGGGAGTCTTCAGTCTCGGTATATCCCTAGATCAGTCTAGCCAGAAAACTAAAAAACACATCAATTTTGATCGACACTCGGACAGTCTTAGACTTGGTCGGGCTGCTGGTTTGTACAAAGTGTTAGATAGAGTCGAGAGGAACATTTCTTAATGAAGTTTCCCTGAAGTCTCATAGGGCAGTCGCAGAGAAAAATGTTCATCCATGTAAAGAAAACTTGTGTCACTACGCCACGTAACGAAACTCAATGATATCGAGACCGAAACATACCGAAACCGAGACAAGCCCAGATCGAAACCGAGACTGAGACTGACACTGACCGAGACCGAGACTGATCGAAACTAAGACGAACCGAGACCGAGATGGATGGAGACCGAGACTGAGCTCTCGGTCTCGGTACATCCCTAGTGTACAATAAATAATTCCATTAAATTTTTTTCCTTTTTTGTTATCTTTCAAAAAATAAAAAACCTGTTTTCAGTCAAACAATGACGATTGTAACCAAACAGAAGGTACGTTCAATGTTTGAAACAGTGTACAAATATTATTAAATTATTGAGAACCGGGGTATTCTACGCACTAGATGGTTCCAAAGAGATCACGACTCATGAAAACTTAAAACACATTGCTAACAGAGGTCAGGCAAAAACGCTCACAGGGACGTGATTTTTTATTTCAATCTCTTCATAATGAATTTATACTTTTCTTCGCTCGTCTAAGTGGAAAATGTCACTTCAAGTTTCTTGTACAACTCTACTTTGACTAATCGAAACAAAAAGTTACTATGCATGTGATTAGTCGAATATATCATCTAATGAGCTTATGTGGATTACGTTTTAATCAGTAGAATAGCTTTGTAACAAAGAAAACGAACAGGCTGTTACGCTTCAATCATTCCTATTCAATAAGTACAAGGCATTTTTCTTTACGAAGTGCTTTAGAAGGTTAGCTACGTTTTCGTTGTATTATACGTAAGTTTATTCTTTCTTTTTAACAATACCCAGGCAGACAATGAACGGTCAAAACTGCGTTTAAACGGTTAATGAGAGCGTTTATACCGTTCCAACGCCTATAAACTGTCTTACCATGGAATTTTTTAACATTAAAGTGTTTCTACGGCTTATCTGCAATCCAGGTAGACAATAAAAGGTCACGACTGCGTTTAAAAGAGTCTATCAAGCGTTTTCATGCGTGTAAACGTGTTTATCGATGAAATTCTCATTCTACACACGTTTTCACGGTTTATTTTCAGGCAAAATTGGCCAAAACCGTTAAAAACGGCTCAATTCCGTGGTTTTTCCAAAGACACACGTTTTAACAGGATTTTTCCGTTTTGCTTCGATTATCAAGAAAAAAACCAAAACTACAAAAATCTTATTATCATTATGCTCTCAGTGAGTAATGTGCATCGTCACTTACTGATTGTTAGTAGGTGGTAGTCTGCACTACTCATTTGCTACTAATGAGTAGTAAACGTTTAGTTTAACTATTCTGCGACACTTATACGTGGTCGAATGTATCTATATCACATAAAATGAGATTGTGAGTAATCAGTCTGGTTACTTTCTAACAGGTAGTAAGTGTTGCGATTTGTTGTTTATTAGTAACAGGCAACTGATGGTTAGAACCTGTATCTCTTACTAATAAATAGTAAAAGATCAGGTCCGATATTAATTATTAGTGAGTAGGTATTTTAAACCAAGAAAACTTTTTTATTGTGATTAAGTTGAAGTCAAAATAGATAGGAGTATAATGATCTTACTGAAAATACTCTTCATAATAAACTTACATGTATTTTATTAATGTATTGTCTGTGTATCTACTCAGCAATATCTCACTGTTACTGGAAAATCGATACGACAAATACAGTCTAGAACAATTGAAATTTTATCCTTTGATTTTTTTGTTTTTTTTTAGTACTATACGTTTTTATCTATTAACTTACTATATATAGAAAGAAAGCCCAGAGCTTACTGCATCTGTTGGTATATTTACTTTGAACATCAAATGCAGTTTAAAATGTAAAAACTACATCAGAAAAAAAGTGATATTTGTTTTTATTACAGGGTTTTTATCATGTTGTAACATTTTTTATTTCGTATATACCTCGGCTTAGATAAACGATGAAATCTTGAAATTTTTTTCAAAAGATGCACTGTGAAAAGCTCTACAAAAGCTGTATGCTTGAATTCCTTTTTAGCTGTTTTGATGGTTTTTCTTATACTCAAAATAAACAACATTTATATCAGTCTCACTTCCCATCATACTGAAAATGTTGGAAGACTTTTTTTGTTCTGCATATATCTCGAATTGAGAAAATGATGAAATATTGAATATGCTTTTAAAAGATGCGCTGTCGAAAGCTCTACAAAACCTGTATAGATCAAATCCTATAGTGACTCAGAAAAGCTCTCGAAATATTTTCTATATGGTAGGAAGTAATGCTACCACCTATAAGTTGTTCATTTTGAGTATAAGAAAAATTATTAGAACAGATAAAAGAGTTTCAATCATACAGTTTTTGTAGAGCTTTTCACAGCGCATCTTTTGAAAAAAATTTCAAGATTTTACCATTTATCTAAGCCGAGATATATGCGAAATAAAAAATGTTACACATGATAAAAACTCTGCAATAAAAACAAATATCACTTTTTTTCTAATGTAGTTTTTACATTTTAAACTGCATTTGATGTCCAAAGTAAATATACCAACAGATGCAGTAAGCTCTGGGCTTTCTTTCTATATATAGTAAGTTAATAGATAAAAACGTATAGTAATAAAAAAAAACAAAAAAAATCACAGGATATAATTTCAATTGTCCTCGACTATATATATGGGCAAAATTTCAGACTCAAATTTGTTTGTTCGGTTTTTCTGCATATATCTTGTGTCACGTGAAAAAATCAGTAAAATGGTCATAACATTCGAAAGAAGCCCTATGAGCCCAGACTCTCTTAGGATTTTTCTTAAAATAATGCCTCCGACATATGGACAAAATAGCAGCGAAAATGGCATGGATCAGTTGGAGACCTTGCTTCGTAAGTAATAATTCAAATTTTTCTTTAAAAGTTTTGTCTTTGATAGGAATAGATACCGCAATTAGAGTGCGCCTCAATAATATTTTTTCTCTATGTATTTCTAACTATAAACTACTATAGTTCGCTCTTTTTTAAGTAATGAGTATACAGTGACAAAGTACAGACTTCACTGTATCATATGGCCGATGGATCATAAGTAACGAATACAAATCAGACGACAAAAAAATACGTCAAAAGAGAAGATGATGTTTTGTTTTTACGACAATTTGTAATACGAGCAAATCTAATTTTTATCTTTCCGTTGTTTTTTTTTTCATCTATGAAAAAATAATAAGGAAAAGATAAAAATTAGATTTGGTCGTATTACAAATTGTCGTAAAAACAAAACATCACCTTTTCTTCTGACGTGTTTTTTTTTGTCGTCTGATTTGTATTCGTTACTTATGATCAATCGACCATATGATACAGTGAAGTCTGTACTTTCTCGCTGTATACTCACTATTTAAAAAAGAGCGAACTATAGTAGTTTAAAGTTAGGAATACATAGGGGAGAAATATTATTGAGGTACATTGTAGATAAAACGTAATGGTCACACCAATGATAAAGAATTATAGACCAATTCTGTTATTATTTATTTATGTTATGTTGGGTATTTTAATTGATCAAATCTTTATTCGTAAAGCTTTTCTACCTAAATCAACGTGTGCATCATACACACTATCGATAAAAAATCCAATTGAAATTCCATTTCAAGTATCACCCAATGTTCAAATTATTAATTTAAGTCAACCGATTAATGCTGATTTTAAATGTATAAATACCAAAAAACTTCTGAATTTTATCAATACTACTATATGTTTACATGAAACCAAAAATGATAGATTTGTTAGTAATTCATTCCATGGTACAGATTCTATTTGGGAAGAAGAAGGAGTAAAACGTATACTTCAACTTCTTATTCGTCATCCATATCTTGATTTTATTGATATTGGAGCAAATATTGGTACTTATACAATGTATGCTGCTGCTTTAGGTCGATTTGTATTGGCTATTGATTGTTTTGCTCCTAATATTAATCGTATTCATCGTGCTGTTCAAATAACTAACGTTGCTAATCGAGTTGTTCTTATTCAAAATGCAATTTTTACTCATTCTGGACAATATTTACATTTGAAAAACTATTCAAGAAATATTGGTGGACAAGAATTAGATATTTCTAAAAAACTGTTTATTAATCAGAATGTAATAAACAATCCATATATAGTTAAAACAATAAAATTTGATGAATTATTACCGATATTAGTTGCACGAGGTGTTCGTGGAGCAATTATAAAAATGGACATAGAAAGAAGTGAAAGCTTTGTTGTTGAAAGTGGAAGTCGAGTATTTGATACATTAGAAATTCCATTTGTACAAATGGAGTGGATGGGAGTACGTTCGTACCCAGATCGTGCTAAAGTTATAATAGATTTTTTTGTGAAACGTGGTTATGACCCTAAGACAGATTCATGTAAATTGTTAAGTATAACTCAACATGCGACATGGCCTGACGGAATATGTTGGATAAAAAGAAATGTTTCTAATTTTTGTTAATTTCTTCTGGTTTAATTTATAATAACAAGCGAACTTTAAATCAAGTTACAATTTTTGTCGTTGTTAATACTGTCCAAGTGAATGTACAGTTTTATGACTCTAAGTTGTTTTGTTGATTAAATCGCAAAATTTTATTTATTTAAGTGGAATTTTGTTTAACTAATATTGTTTAAAATTGTTACTATATATGTCGTCATGCTAATATTGATGTCACCACTGGTTGATCTTCCTTTCCGGTTTATTCTCTCTCTCTCTCTATTGTTCCTTTCTGTATTATGTATCTCTCTTTGTCTTATGTATGAATTAGTTCAATAAACTTCATTATCGAGGGTGGCAGTAAGTCACTCTCCCAAATTTATTGTTACAATTAATATAAATTCTTAATTATCTACTAAAAACATTATCTAGTGTTTCTTTTTCTATTTATTAAGTCTAGACACAACTTGAAGCAAACAGAAGAATCTAATTCACGACTGATTCCAAAATCTTCTTTTTCATCTAATCCGCATATCAACAATTTGTGGATTTCATCAAATTCGCTGATTTTCTAAAATATATTCCCTGATAATTTGTTCATATAAAATCGAAGTTATGCCTTTTTTCAATAGAATGAATGATGAGTGTAGTCTTTCGAATACAAAGTAACTGAGATTTCTTCTGTCATAGTTAGATATGTACCGAGACAGAGGAATCGCTGACAAAGGTAAGAGTTTTTCTCTGCAAAGAACCTACGAGACTCTATGAGAATTGTATTATAAACTACTCAGCTTGGCTTCATTCAACTGTGCGTACGATCGGACAGACTGATTGGAGCGAAAATTGTTCAAGTCTCAGTCAGTATCGGTAAAAGTTTGTTGTTTTTTGCAGTTTTTCGACTCAGACTGGCCAAGACACATGGACATTTTTCGTTCTAATCTGTCTGTCCGGTCATAGATGCAGTTAGATGAAACCAAGCTGAGTAGTTCACAATACAACTCTCGTAGAGTCTCGTAGGTTCTTTGTAGAGGAAAAACTCACACCTTTGTCAGCGATTTCTCTGTCTCTAGCTATGCCTAATCGTGGTCAATTGTCTGAGTAGCAGTTTCATACAGTACACATGAAGCAACCGAAAATCGAAGCACTGGTCAAAACTTCATTGTTTTTTTACTTGATATTGTCATCTTAGCACATTCAGCCCAATTCAGTTTTATTACAGAATAGCTCTAGCAGATTCATTTTTGTGTGCATTCGTTGTCCTTTTCATTCTGTGCTGACTCGTTGTTTTTTCTCTTTTCTGATTGGTATATCACATGCAAGGCTCTCGATTGTTTTTGAGAGTGGGAGGGGCACACACTATTCATAAACTTTCGCAGACAGTCTGTTGACGAAAGCTTTTTAGAAATAGCTACCGAAAATTTCCTAGTGTTTCATAGAAAGTCGTGATCGGACCCAAGGGGGGGGGGGTAGCTTTGGAAAGATTCCCCTATCCCCCTTCAGGGATGAGCCAAATCTCGAAAAAAGTTCCGTACACAAAAACAAAACCCGGGCTAAGGGGGGAGGGGTGTAGCTTGCGAAGATCCCCCAAACAGCGTCTAGTTAAAAATTTTCCAGACCATATTCAAAAATTTGCCGGACAATACTCAAAAATGTGCCAGACAACACTCAAAAATTTTCCAGACAGTAAAACAGATTTTCAACTTTTGGGGGGGGGGGGGGGGGCGGCCCCCCACATCGAGGGCCTTGATCACATGGACAGTTATATCTATGCATCACATACTAGTTTTTATCAACATGAGATATTGGGTTTTTTTCAGTATGTTATCACATATTCTATATTGGACTTTTCCTAATAATACACTCGCTTACGTCATACTTGGTACTCTCCAACATGCTTATATATGTATGTGCCGGTGCTTTTCTTCTTGCAGTCATTAGCTATTACATTCACTAGTTCTCTTGCTAATTCTATGCTTCCCGTTCCTTTTTTCTATTGTAAAACCTCCTTTATAACGTTGAGATACGTATATTTTGATTGTTTTAACGAGAAGCATCATGCTATGGAATAAAGGACTCAAAAAATACTGAAGACAGAGCAGGTGACACATTATGTGTAATCTCTAGCCTGAGTAAAAGGCAAAAGGAAGCGATTTTCTATACAGTTTCTTCTTAAAAAATAGTGTGACCCACCGGTGGATCACATCGGGCTGAATGTGTTAATTAATAATTATTTTACAAAAAAATAAGAAAAAAAAATATATATACTTGTTGGTTGTGACGTTGATGGTGGTGGTACTTGATTCATTATCATTGGATAATACAGGGTATCCCAAAATTATAAGATCCTCTTTCATTTTTGGAATTTTTCAACAAAAACGAACAGCTAGGTTAAACCTAAATAGTGATTTGGATAGCCCTTGAATTTCTCTATCGAATACGATATGAGCTAGAATTTCAAAAGAAACTTTGTGAAGAGACTTTTTCAGAAAACCGTTGCACCTAAAAATCGAGTTTTTGAAAACTTTGACAAAAATATTTTTAAATACAATCATTTGAAAGAGGAAAAAATTCTGAGCAAAATAAGTGATTGCCCGGCTCTCCATGATGTTTCCTTGCAAAGTTATAAGCATGAAAAAGCTCAAAAAGTTGTATAAATTGTGAAGAAACCGCTAAAAAACATAGTTTTTCTTTTTTCTGAAGCTTATAACTTTGCAAGGAAACATCATGGAGAGCCGGGCAATCACTTATTTTGCTCAGAACTTTTATTCTTTCAAATGATTGTATTTAAAAATATTTTTGTCAAAGTTTTCAAAAACTCGATTTTTAGGTGCAACGGTTTTCTGAAAAAGTCTCTTCACAAAGTTGTTTTGAAATTCCAGCTTATGTTGTATTCGATAGAGAATTTCAAGGGCTATCCAAATCACTATTTAGGTTTAACCTAGTTATTCGTCTTTGTTGAAAGATTCCAAAAATGAAAGGGAGCCTTATAATTTTGGAACACCCTGTATTTATATGAAATGAAATATTTAATACTACATGATAGACAAAGCAAAGAACGAATCGAGAAAACAATAAACTAAATCATAATATTCGATGAATTTACTATTCGATTTAATAGTCAATCATAATTTGCTTGCTTGAATTACATTTGTTCTTTCTTACTTGTTTCATCAACGAACGAATGATAGTTGATTATTTTATTTTACAATAGTCATGACATTGACAAATCATAATTTGGTAGTTATAGATGTTATCTATATATGAATTAGTTTATTTAGATTTTAATACATATAGATTAATTTTACTCAAGCCTAAAACGTAGTGTTAGGAATTTGATAGGTTTTGAAGCAAATATTTCGAAGGTAAAAACAAGTTTGATTAGATGATGATAATGAACAACTGAAACTCCTGTTCGAGTTTAACTATATAAAATCGATGGTGTTCAAGAGAATTTATATTGACTGTAAAAAAAGTCGATTTTCGAAATAAATAAAACAAAGAAAACGGTAAATTATATAAATGATATTAAAGTTTATGACTGATTAATGAGAACTTGTGAAAATGAATTGTGTGTCCAACATGAAAAGCTATCCAAGCATGAAACACCCATCGAGCTGATATTTTTTTTCATACGTAGGACTCGATGAAATCAATAAAAACCTAGAAAAGTTCATCCTCATGCACTGTCATTATCGTTTTACTGTGTTATTTATATCTCCGACAAGATATTTATGAAGAACTCGAAAATCTGAAATTTTCTCTGTGAATTCATCTCATAGTTATTCGAATGCTCTAAAATTTCAGCCGAAAAGAATGTGTGTTGGAGGTTAAAAAAACATTCAGTAAAACGATAATAACAGTGTATGGCGATGAACTCTTCTAGTGTTCTACCAATTTCATCTACTCCTATCTATAGAAAAAAATATATCAATTTGGTGGGCGATTCCCACTTGGAGATCTTTCTTCGTAAGTTTATTTATTGTTAGTGTCAATTCTATGTCTCAGCAGTGAATCTGCGACGCTCAAATAGTAGGAAGAAAGGATATGTCATTGAAAAGTAGGAGAAAACAATCTTAGTGACGAATCGCTGTTTGAGATCCGTTCATGTTTGCATTTCTATTCTGCTTATTTCTTAAATATTAATGTATACCGGATTATGTTTTTTTTATAAAATTTTAATCGAATAGATTTTCCTTTATATAAGATTTTTTACTTTTGATAACCAATTTTCTTTTCTCTAAATAAACTTTATTAAAAATATGTTATTATTAAATTAACGAGCTACATATACTAGATAATCTTTGAATACGAATAAAAAAAGAAAACTTTGCACCGGTACACGGACTTACAAAATATTGAAACGAAAAAAAAAAGAAAACTCGAAAATCGAATAGAAAGAAAAACGTAACAAATATAAGCGAAGAAAAGAACTACATAGCTATTTGGACACACTATTTTAAATATTCGCCTATATTTATAATGGAAGCTGATAAGTATAAACTCGATAATCTTTTGAAGCTAAATGAAGAATATTTTGTTTTGGTTGAATAGCAACATCGAGAATTTGTGAATGACAAATTCGAGCTGTATATGCACCTAAACGTTTTTTTTGTTGATATTCATCATAAATAGTTATATTTAAACCTTGATGATTATCAATTGTTATTAATTGTCCTTTAGAATTTAATTTAATATTTGTTGGATATGTTATATAATTTGTTTCTTTTATTTCACGTATTAATTGTCCATTATATGAAAAAACTTTTATTGTATGTAAATGATTATCAGATATAAATATTTCATAATTATTTGAACAAATTGATGTTGGAAATTGTAATTGTTCATTTAAATTAAATACAAATAAAATTTTTCCATCTAATGAAAACATATGTAATTTTTGTAATTGAGATTCAATAACAAGAATACGATGTGATTGATCAACAGTTAATGCACGTGGTTTTTCTAAATGTTGACCAAATCGACGAATCAATTCACCTTTAGAACTAAATACATGAATTTGTGGT